AACTCTTACAACTATTTCCAAATTATTGCCAACTCTGTAGGGCTCTGGTGCAATGCTGTGTGCAGACCAAGGCTTTTAAAAAAATGTCAAAAGTATCACAAGCCATCTTAACAACAGTGAGGAGTGTTTTAGAACTATTTTTGCCCTAATTGTATATTGGGAAGAGAGACAGTTCCTTGCAAGAACAGGACTTCCTAATAATGAATTTATAAGAATAAAACTTGTAAAGTGTATTGTAAAGTGTATTTGACAGTATTTAGCAGCTGCAGAACTTCATCATTTGTTCCCTGATTTCATGCTGTCAAATCTGACAACATGAACTGGTGCCAATCTTTGCTTTGAAAGACAATTTCCTTTTTATAAAAATTCTAATTATTAAAGCTAAATTTAGATTTTATTAAAAGGAAGTTTTTAGTCCTTTATATTTGTCAAATAGCTTTCAAAAACTAAGTTGGTTCTACCTTTGACAATTAGTCAAAATGATACTTACTGAAAACTGTGTGGTTTTTTCCAGCTTCTGCTACCAATAGAAGTTGGTGTGAATGGCAAGGAAAGCACTTGTATTTTTGATACACATAAAACCTGGTTATCAACTGTGTAGAAGTGTGGATTTATTAACCATTTTCAGACACACTTAGCTGGGCACACTTAGATCTCATTTAGCTAAAGATACTACTGATCACTCACTGCATGTGGAGGAGAGGGTGTTCAGCCTGGGAAGGTAACTTGGATGTTGCCACAATTTGGATCCTAAAGATATACAATGCTTTTGTCTTTAAAATGACAGTGCTTTTAACACCCTTCTTGATTGATCCAGGTACTATAGGCAAAGGTTTGAATTAATGCAGATTAGCAGCTGCTACTGTAACCTATTCTCTGGATACAGGCTATCTCAGCTCAGATGCTACTGGCCGTCTGAACTGTTCTGTGCTTTGTCCAGATTCCATCACAACTCAGAAAGCACAGACCAGTTATTCCACTGCTTACCTGAAAATAATACATGTGACAGTTTATGGTTTGGGGGCAAGATACACTTTTATTAACTAGCAGCAAGCTAGTCTCCTGACCTCCTTCCTTGGAATACACCAGACTTCTGGATGCAGAATTGATGTAAGTGTACAGTTGACTGGTAATGAGGGATTTGAGCCCTTTTCCCTCCTTCCCCACTTGAACTTAGTGTAGAGACTATAATGAGAGTTACAGTAAGTGCATTGTTGACCATGCAGGAGGCTGGTGCTGGTGTTCTGGGGCTTCTTGACTATGTTTTCACAAGTATATTCAATAGAGGTGGAACCACTGAAAGAAGTGCTAATGAAACATGAATTTTCTGCACCATCCGATGAAACAGCCATGTTCAGCTTCTGGAACAATATTCCTGAATGAACAGTTTTGAACTACTGTATTTTACTGCTGTAGTTCTAGATTAGTTCTCTGAGAAATAATGAAGCATATACATTAAGAATGAGAAAATCTGAGCACAGTGCAAAATATTGTAGCACATACCTGTGAGGCATCCAGTGCACACAGACTCATAGAATAGATAGGATGGGAAGGAACCTCTGAAGATCATCTAGACCAGCTCCTGTGCTCAAGTAGGAGCAGTTGAAGCAGATTGATCAGGGTCATGTTCAGTTAGATTTTGAGTATCTCCAAGCATGAAGACTCCACAATCTCTGTAGGAAACCTGTGTTCAATCAATGTCTCGATTTAAAAAAGCAAGGTTTTCTTATGTTCAAAGTGAATTTCCTGTATTTCAGTTTGTGACATTTGGCCCTTCACGATTCACAGGCTCCCACAGAGAAAAGCCTTGCTCAGTCTTCTTTGTACCCTCCCATCACATATTACACACATTAATTGGATCCCCTGACCCTCTGTTCTTCAGAATGAACAGTTCCAGCTTTCTCAGCCTCCCCTTGTATGACCCTCACTTGTCTTTGTGATCCTTTGCAGATCCTGCTCCAGTAGGTCCATGTCTCTCTTATACTGGGAAGCCCTGAACTGGACAGAGTACTCCAGGTGTGGCCTCACCAGGGCTGAGTAGAGGGGCAGGATCACATCCCTTGACCTGCTGGCAGTGCCCCCACCTCATGCAGGTCAGGATGGTGTTGACCTTCTTTGTGAAGCTTATATGGTCTAGTATTGTGTGGCAGGTTTCACTAGAGAGAAATAAAATTTTAAAAGGAGTGAACTAGCTTGAATTAAATTTTTATTGGCCTCAAAATATGGCCTCAGTGAAGGGAACAATATGTGCTAGTAAACTAGAGGAGAGACTCTGTCAGTCTGGGAAAGAGACAACTGCCCACAGAGGCTTCAGTGATCAATGAAAGCAACCTAAAGAACCACCAGAGCGTATTTCTTGGGAAATCTCTTGGCCTGGGAATAAGCCTTGGCATGGCATTGGACAAGGGGCTAGGACATCTAGTAGGCTACCCAGTTACCAAATAATACGCTGCAGCCTGCAGGAGTTCTCTGTATAAGCTCCATTTTATATAACTGTCTTCCTATTAGAGTTGTATTTGGTTACATATCTAAAATACTCCTGCTGCTGGCTTTGCATAAAGCCAGTTGTAAGAAATAGTTGGGAGGGTTTTCCCTCTCCCTTGCTTCCAGTTATTTAGTCATGAGCACATGATGAAGAACTGTTTTGATTTTTTTTTCCCCACATGCTGGGTGATTAAGGACTTGAGTGCTGAAGACCCACTTTCCCCTTCCTTGAGAACCATTTTCTCTTCCACCCAATTTGCAATATGTTTTTTAGGCTCTGCTGGAGCTCATGAAACATTCATACCTGTGGTTATATGCTACATTTTGTAGCACTTGTATCCTGGTATTACTGTGTGCCTTCAGCCACATGACATCCTTACATCCTTGTGTCTAACCCGAGGGACATGGTTTTTACTGATGGACCACTTGGTGAATAAGGAATTGGCTGAATGGATGCATTTCAAAGGGTTGTAATCAGTGACTCAGTGTCCAGGTGGAGATGAGTGACAAGTGATGTTCCTCAGGGACTGGTGTTGTGCCTGATGCTGTTTGACATCTTTGTTGGCAACATGGACAGTGGGATTGAGTGCACCCTCAGCAAGTTTGCCAATGACTCCGAGCTATGCAGTGAGGTCAACATGCTGGAATAAAGGAATGTTGTCCAGAAGCATGTGGGCAGGCAGGCCTGTGTGTACCTCATGAAGCTCTACAAGGCTAGATTCAAGGTTCTACAGATGGATCAGTGCAATCCCAAGTACAAATACAGGCTGGGTGGTGAATGGATTGAGAGCAGCCCTGAAGAGGTCTTGGTGGGTGTTGGTGAACGAGAAGCTCAGCATGACCCAGCAATGTGCACTCGCAGTCCAGAAAACCAAACACATCCTGGGCTGCTTCAAAAGAGGCATAGCCAACAGGGCAAGGGAGTTATTCTCCCCTTCTGCTTCAGTGTGGTGAGACTCCACCTGGAGCACTGCATTCAGCTCTGGAACCCTAATATAAGAATGACATGGACCTATTGGAGTGAATCCAGAGGAGTGTCACGAAGATAACCAGAGGGCTGGACCACCCCTCCCAAGAAGACAGGCTGGGAGATTTGAGTCGTTCAGCCTGGAGAAGAGAAGGCTCTGGAGAGACCCTATAGCAGCCTTCCTGTACCTGAAGGGGGCCTATGGGAAATCTATAGGGGGGCTTTTTTACAGGGGCATGTAGTGATAGGCCAAAGGGGAGCAGCTTTAACAGGAAAGAGGGTAGGTTTAGATTAGATACTAGGAATAAGTTTTTTATTGAGAAAATGGTGAAGTGCTGGCACAGGTTGCCCAGAGAAATTGTGGATACCCCATTCCAGGAGGTACTCAAGGCCAGGTCGGGTGGGGCCTTGGACAACTTGGTCTTATTTGTAGGTGTTCCTGTCCATGGCAGGGGGGTTGGAACTAGTGGTCTTTAATGTCCCTTTGAAGCCAGACCATTCTGTTTGTATGATATCTGATATGCTGTTTACATGAATTATGGACCTAAACGTTTTATCTGAAAACATGCATGGAAGCAAGTTATTCTCTGCTTCCTTCCTCCCCCAGAATCATAACTGTCCGTGATTATATGTTGTCAGAAGTTTATGTCTGGCCCTCATTAATGATCTTTCATTTCATGGTGGTCCTACTTCCTGTCTCACATCTTCAATACTGATTATATACTTGGAGGTCCATTCTGATCTGCCAAAACTAAAGAAATGAGCATTTGTAAACAAAAGGGAACTGGACAAAATGATTGCACTGCTTCCTTTTTCTTCAACATATTGTAGTCTGATTTGGGTTCTAATTTGAAATATAATTGAAAAATTCAAAGGAGACCTCATAACATTTGCAAAATCTCTCAGATGAGGAGTCTTTTTAGCTGGCTTAAAGAAACCCATGCCACATGAAATGTGTTACCCGTGGGCCCGAGTTTCTCTGTGTCTGCTATTGCTGTTAAGAAGCTCTTTCTCATGCAGCATGTGGCCAAAAATCACTTCAGGCTCCCATGTTCCAGGAGGGTCCCAGTGGTTAAAAGAGTACTTAATTGTCTGATTGTTCTGGAGGTTTCAGTTTAGGAGAATGCTGAAAAACAGCTCACAAGTTCATTGGAGTGAATCCAGAGGAGTGTCACGAATGCTCTGGCTAGCAGGATTAATTTTCAGGCTGTTTTGTGGGTGTTGAAGGAAACATCATATCTGAAGGAGGTTTTTGCAGCCCACCTGCTTGATGGTTGGGACTGCCCAGGGAAGCAGAACAATTGCAGGAGAATCCCTGTGGAAGAACCCATCTGTGTTAGTCTCCTGTTAGCAGGCTCACTGAGGCTGGAGCAGTTGGAGGTGGTGACTGTGTCTGCTGGAGGTGCTAGATGGGAGGTTGTGGCCAAGTTATGGAGCTGAAGGAGCTCCATAACTGTGTATGGTATCAGGGAAGATGGAAAAAGGATTGAGAGTGTCTTCACAGAGACTGTGCAGAGATGAGAACCTGAATGTCCTGACTGTGCAAAACAGGGCAGCCAGAGTCTGTGGGCAGTTTTTATATAAGTGCAGGAACACTGTGTTGAGGAACACTGGAGGCTTATGACTTCTGTCAGAAGTTGTCCTTACAAGGTTGCTCTCTCACCTTGAAAAGGAAGGTCAGGCGATTTCTGTGTTGAATGGATAAATGCAAATGTAGCCACCTTCAAAAAATCCCAGAATTTTAACTTGGAGAACTACAAGCCAGTCAGCCTTACTTCAGCCCCTGGGAAAATCATGGAGTGAGTCCTTTTGTAATATGATTCTGGACAAATTGGTGGTTGAAACAGTCAGAATATATTTCTTAAGGATAAATCATTCTTGACCACCTAAGTTGCATTGCAATGATGAAATCACTGTTTTGGATGAGAGAGTACTGTATTATTGACCTCTGCTTTAACAGAAAGTACTATAGAGTTTCCCATAATATTCTCATGTCCAAACTGGGGCCTTACTGTTTGGATGAACTAGCAACAAATAGAAACCCGGCTGGATATTTAGGCTCAGAGTGTAGCAGTTAATGGTTCATATTCTGCCTGGATACCAGTGGAGTGCCACAGGGGTTTCTACCATTTATGTCTTTTTCAGTGACCTGAAAAAGGCAGCAGAATGCATTTTGGTTTAAGTTTGCAGATGATGCCATACTGGGAGGGCCAGTAGATAGGACAGGATTTTCATCTACAGGGACTCTGATAAATAAGAGTAGTGGGTTGACGGTATCCCTGTGAAATTCAGTAGGGCAAATGCAAGCTCCTGCTTAGAAACAATGTACCAGCATGGGCTGAAAATTGACTGGTGGCAGTTCAGCAGAATGCTTTGGCCACCCAGCAGATGGGAAGCTGAATATAAGCCAGCAGTGTACTTAGTAGCAAAAGCCAACAGCATGCAGCAGCTCGGAAACCAAGGGGAGGTATTGTCCTCTAGTCAGCACTCACTAGGTGGCATCTACAATATTGCATCTTTTGTACCTTTTCCATGTTCCCTGATATAATACATATAGTTTTGGACCCCACAATACAGGAGAGGCGATTATGAGCTGCAGTGAGTTCAGCAGAGGCCACCAAAATGGTCAGGGATTGATCTGGAGCTCTTGTCCTGAGAGAGGCTGAGGCTCAGCCTGGAGAAGAGATGGCTTTAGGGGGGAGCTGTTGGTGACCTTCTAGTACCTACAGGGAGTTTATTCAGAAGATGGAGCCAGGCTTTCCCAAGGATTGTGTTGATTGGAGGATGACAGGCATTTGGTATAAACTGAAGAGACTTGAGAGAAAAAGAGACTTGAGAAGAAACTTGAGAGACTCAGAGTGGATATAAGGAAAAGCTTTCTCATCCTAAGGACAGTCAAGCAGTGAGACTGCCCAAAGACTGTGTAGTCTCCATCCTTTGCGGTTTCAAGACTGACTGAGCAACCTGATACGGTGTCAGAGCTGTGAGCAGTTGATTCGACTAGATAATCTCCAGAGATCCCTTCCAACCTCAAATATCCTGTGATCCTGTATATAGGAGTATGTATAGATTATGTACAGAATGAGTTCTGTGGGGACTATATATGGAATGTCTTTACAGAGGCCACAAAGGTTCACTTTTGACAAGTAATGCATACTTTTTAAAATAAGGAATATTCAGATTTCCGTGAAAGGAAAAATAAAATGTAAAAACCCCCTGTATCTGCTCTTCTCTGCCTTCCCATTTCTTTGCAGATCTTATTTTAGCCCAGAACCAGCAAAGTCTGAAATGTTGTCACCATATTCATGCACACATTGCTTGCCTGGATTCATGTTGAATTCATCTCTGTGAAAGATTTAATAAATGACTTCCATTTACATCATTTATGTAGTGAATAGAGCATGAAAGGTGGAAAAAAAAAGCTTTCAAAATATCAGTGTAGCTGTTCTATTTGGGGACAACCCTTCAAACACCTGAATTATTGCATGTCTATTAAAGTGAAGACAGTAAAGGTGATACATGTATTCTAGGTAAACACCATGCTGGTGTTTGACAGTTTGCAAATAATTCATACAATAAATGTCCCCTAATGTAGTATAAATGCATCTCTCAAATATTTCCAACTGGGCAGCATAGATGTAATCAAGAATAATTGAAGAGCTGATTTTGTGCTATGTTAACAGAACTGTCTTCCTGAATGTGTTAGGATGCCTAACATGCTGGCTTTCTCCGTGATCATATTGTTTGAATTGGATGTGAAAGAATGGTTAGTACTATTTAGTCATAATCTGTCATAAGAATCTTAAATAGCTTAAAAAAATCATAATTATGTTCCTAAGACTGATGGTATTCCAGATCTTGCAGTGATAAAGGTTTTCTGGTTTTGCCTCAGAATTACTTTTAGAAAAAGAAGTATGCTCTCAACCTAATCATGTCAGCATCAGAACACCTGCAAAATTAGATCAAAAGAAAAAGTGGAATTACTGAGATTTGCTTGCTATGAATAGCACTAGTGTGAATGTGTTAAGCAGTCATGTTTGCTGTACTGAAAATGCAACATACCCAGGGGAACCAATACAAAAGAAAACAAATTTGGGGATGTATTGACTGAAATAGCAGTTTGGAAATTTTCTGTGGGATAGTGAGTGAAACACCTGTAGGGATCATCAGGTGTGCCTCAAGCTGGAGGATGACCAGTGGAACTGCAAGCTGAGTAATGCTGTTCTTGTGTGGAAAATGTTGGGTTTTGTTTTGACAGAAGCAAAAATCTTACTTGACTACTGAAGTCTTAATGGCTGATCATTTCTCTTGGGTGCCTGGCCTAGAAACCAGCCAGTGCAAAGTGATCAGCTCTCAAAGATTGTGCACAGCAAACATCAAGGAGGGGACGTGCTTTGTTTACAGATGGACGTCAGCGTGGTGGGATGGGAAAGGCACAAAGCTTCTATCAGGGTTAGAGAGCTTCAAAGCTTGTGTCTATAACTGGTACCTTCCACATTTCTGATAGCAGTTTTGTGCTAGCTTGTGATAGTGTAATGATGTAAGTAAGCATGGTGAAAAAGAAAGTGGTGATCATCACAACACTGCCTAAAAGTACTAGCGATGGAAAACAAACTAATTGGGTAAAAATATGCTTATTGTCAGGCCTCCTTAACTGCTACTCCTTTGTAGCTGTTTGATCTTCCTTAAGTAGGGAAACTATTAGTCTGTTTTTTCAGCTTTGTATTTTTATTTCTTTTGCAAAAAGGCTTAAAAGAACAACAGACACCAGAAAACCCAAATCACAGCAAAAAAAAAAAAAAAAAATCTGCTAAGGGTTAATTTTAATAGTGCTTCTCAGAACATAATGGAAATGTTAGCTCTGTCCTTCCTTCATAACACTTCACATGTCCTGTATTTATTAGTATTTGCTGGGAACTGGAGAAGAGGAAACAATTTCCTTTAGGGCACAGCACCTAAGGAGGAGCTCACTAAAACAATTTGATAGATTTTGTGATGACTTCATGGCTCTCAGCTGAAGTTAAGCCCTTGACATGAAGATAAAAGTGTTGAAATACTTCTGTCACTACCTACATTACTACTTACATTATTTTCTTCATGCTCAGGTGGGCAGACCATGAGTAGGAGCTTCGTTTAGCCCAGTGGAATTAGAGAAAGTGTATGGAGAATGGGATTTGCAGCCTGTGTACTGTTATTTGGTTATCAACACATTTACATTAAAAATACTTGTTAGAGAATTAAATTACTTAAATTTACTGATATTTTAAGGATACTGACAAGATCTCTTTAGGTCCCAAGTCCCTCCTATCCTCCCCCAGCCTGTACCTGTGATTTATGATCATTATTTAGCAATAATTAAGCTGAAACATGGTGTAAAAGTTTCCAATATGATAAATTACATCTTCAAGTTTATTCTTGATAATTGTTAGGTGTTAGGACATTGAACACAGAATTTTCTGCCAACTTTATATGTTTCTGTTCTAGATCCTTTATATTTGTCCTGATTGAATAATGCCTGGTGAAGGCACTGCTGTACCTGTGCTGCTTTCTTATTTCTGAGTGTGCTAATTACAATCTGCTCATGCTCATTAGTCTTTGCATGTCCCAAATATGTCCAGTTTTCTCTTCTAGATAACAGGAGATACAAAGCTCTGTTATTTGCTGCTATAGCTAAACTGAGTCAAACCAAGCAGAAGACAGGCCAAGGGCAGTTCAGACAAAGCAGGCCTGACGAGTGTTTGTCCTGAAGCCTTGAAAACTCAGTGCAAAGCCCATGACTTGTTCCTGGAAGTGGCAATACTGGGCTGCAGGGTTGCAAGAACTGATAGAGCAACTTAAGCAGTAGGCAATAGAGCATACCTTGCATTTTATTTTATTTTATTTTATTTTATTTTATTTTATTTTATTTTATTTTATTTTATTTTATTATTTAATTTTAATTTTCAGTTACTGCAGAGCCTTTTCAGAGCATGCAGTGTGTGACTTCTTAATTTATATTTCACCCTAGTAACTATTCTGTAATTAAAATGTTTCTCCTGTGTGGGTTTTTACCCTCTGCTTACAGTCATAAATTTAGATTGATCAGGCTATAATAGTGGCTGTGACATTTACTGTTTTTTATAGGCCATTCTCATTGTAATAAACCAGCAAAATAGTACTGATTTTTTTAATGTATCCATTAAATTAAGAAATTAGTTTTATAGAAGTAAGTGCTTTCTGGATAGAAGGTATCTTTTATGTTGAAACCTTACCAAATAGTATTTCAAAACAACTGAAAGATTTTTGTGTTTTGGCTGCAGATAAATCTGTTTGCTGGAAGAAGGTGAGGGCTCTTTAATTCCAGTTTTCCTGTTTGTTGCTGAAGCAGTGAAGCATTCAGAAAAAGACAATTTCACTTTGATTAAATGCTTAAAAAGTTATCTGGTTGATAAAAAAAAAAAAAGGAAGACAGAAAGAAAAAGGATGTTGCATAAGCTTTTAATATTTAATTTCTATACTCTAAGTATCCGGAAGAACATTTAGTTCCTGTTTTGAAAGATGAATGCCTTATATTGGAAAGTG